ACAGATGATGGAACTGGAATATATTTTGAAAAATACATTCTTAAAGATGAGATTCCAAGCAAGGCCATAGGGCCTCAAAAGTATCAGGTACCAGAAGATGAGTCCTTTAGTGGAGGAATTTCATTTCAGATTTCAGAGGACAAGCACAAGCAAGGGTCTGGTGATGTTCAACATGTCAAAAGTGAGGTTCTGCTGGAAAGAGGTGCTGTGGAGAGAGAGGAAGTCCAGGTTGACAGTCACATTCAAGCAACAATTTGTAAACCAATGCATGCTATTCCTTTTGGAAGGAACGTAATTCTTTCAGGTCCAAGAAGTGATACCACTGAACAAAGAGAGGAAGAAAATGTACCTGTAGAAACAACTGAGGAGTTGCCAGAGCAGCCAAGTCATCAAACGTATAGTCAGCTAGTGGATTATCAGGGAGCTGCATATCAAGAAGCTGATAATAAGCAGGAAGAACAGCATGACATAACAGCAGTTCCTCAAATGGAAAAATATGTCCCGTATAGCAGGAAAAAAACAGTGAACATGATGAGTATACTCAGGAAAATCTTTCATGTGTCCCTACCATTCAGCAGACAGAGAAGCCAGACTTGCGAAGTGAGGAGCAGCACCCTGATGTTTATGAAGATCTCGCTGAGTCAATGGACTATGATGTGATTACACAAGAAGAACTTCTGCAAGATGAAATATTGTCTCAATTCACACATGAGGAGCTATTATTTGAAGACAGAGACTCTTCTGAGCATGCTGGTGATAGTTATGAATTTGTTAATGAGCCAGAGCAAAGAACACCCGTTGAGCTTGAAGATTCAGGCTTTGTGGTGATGTATCCTGAAAAATCAGCAACAAACATTCCTCAAGTTGAGAGCCCACAAAGGGAACTGAAGAAAATGCAAGCAGACACATATTGTTACAACTGCAAATGCCCAATATCTGCTATTGACAAGCTTTTTGGAGAACATAAAGACCATGAAGTCACAACACTAGATGATGCCGCAACCAAGATGAAGGTAAGAATTAATTTGGGTGAAAGAAGGGGCTACTGAGACTGATTTCTCCAGACCTCTTGTGTTGTCATAAGAGAGGCTTCAGAGAGCAGTCCAGAGGCAAAGTCACAATATCTATAGAATAAAAACTATTCCTAAACACCTGTTAGAGATCTTGAAGGGAGACTATCTTATTAAAGTATTCTTTAGAGTCATAGGCTTGTTAAGATGGTACTTTTATTTGTTTGGAAGTTTGAATGACCTTGTTTATATGTAGCTGTTACCAGACTTTCCAACTTTTAGCCTTCTCACCTGTGTAAGTTTGTTCCAGTTTGTATGTGTAGGGGGAGAAATGGAAAGAATGTTGTTTCTATGAAAAGAAAATTTTAGTAACAGCAGCTCATTTGACTTGACAAGGTACAGAAACCTCTGTATGTGGGGACCAGTATCATCATAAAGTGTTCCCCATCCCAGTTATGTGTGGTTGCTCAGAGATGTTAGACAAGTTACAGAGTTTTGTTGAAACTCTATACTCATTTTCTGTTCTGTTCGTGTTCATCTGTGCCAATAGCATTTTAGCTGTAGTGCAGGTGAGAGTTTAGCAAGGCCTACATCTTCAGACTATGTCTAGCTGTACCTAAAAGATGTACTCTAAAAGACAGATAAAGATGCCCCTCATTTCAGTAGCTTTTGCTATCAGTACAGTTGTAGATGCTTTCATTTCTGTGGAAGTTATTTTTCATTAAACTGCAGTTCTGCTTGTGAAACAGCATACATGTGATGTTTTGTCTTTCCCATATTATACTTGTTGATGTGCAAGTATACAGATATTCCTTTCCTGATTACCAGCTATTTAATCTCACCCCAGTATCTGAAAGGTGAGATCTCTTTCCTGCATGTGTTCATTTAATGGTAAACACAGATTTTGTGTCACGTCACTGAAATTCCAGAAGGGCTAGTATCAATGGTATTTAAGTTATCTTTATGTTAACTCATTCGCAAGAAAAAGAAATTAAAAGTAGGAGGAGTCAGTGTGGCAGTTTAAAATAACAGTATTTACAAACTATCTCCATGGTGTGCAGGTGTATGACAGTGGAGCTGCTTTTTGTATATGGCCATTCATACTTGCCTTAGAAGTGATAATTAGCCACCAGTAAATCAGTAAGTCACAGACTCCAATCATCCGTCAAATGTACCTGCATTGCAGCAAGTCAAGTTAAGCCTCAAATAAACATCCCATGATATCACTCCCTGGCGATGGGGCATGGACATGAAGCCAGTATTAAATCTGGACACAACACAGGCTTGGCTTCACATGATTTCTAGCATTCAGGGCTCAGGTTACTCTGAGATGGCATTTGTATGTTTCTTGTTACTTCTGTATAATTACTGAGAAAACATTAAGATAGCAAAATGTTTGTTGCCTGAATTTGAGCTGTAGGAACACAGCCTCACAGTAAATGAAATGAACTATGGATGGCATCTGTCAGATTTTATAGGTTATCTTGACAAACAGAAATTTGCCTCTGAGTCTTGGTGATTGGCCGTAAATATTTATAAAGTGAACTTTCAATTATACCATCCAATGTGACATTTATAATTAATGGAAATGGTAGTTTTCAACAGATCTAGCTGTAGAAGTTTGCCATAATAGGAAGCTGTTACTAAAGGAAGTCAACCTTCCTTTTAGATTTATGCCAGCTAATTCAAAAAAAGTATTTTAATAAATTATAAATTGCACTGAGCAGATGGCTGTCCTGCTTTCCTGAAAGGTCAGTAAGGACTAAGAAGTTCTGAGTCGTCTCTGATGCCTGTTGTCTTTTGGACTGCTTTTGTTTCCACATCAAATTCAACTAGTGATTTTGCTGAATTCTGGTTTATAGGAAGTATCTTTAAAATAATGGTACTTATTTTTATGTTATCTTTAACATAAATAATCTATTAGCCTGCATAATCTATTAGCCTTATAACTACCTGCATTATCTTCCTTTTTCTGGGCTTGTTCCAGTGATCTCTTGAGCACCCTCATGAGGCTCTGAGTACTCACAGTCTCTAGCAAAGCTGCTAGAATTCATAACATTTAACATTTGTGTAGGTGCTCAGCGCCCTGTCAAACTGAGCTCACTTGTTTTGGTTTGGAAACAGTTTTGTGACTGTTCCAGTTGCTATTTCTGTGCTTGTCTTCGTAGCCAGGGTGATAACTTGAACTTAATTTAGCAATTGTTCCAATGGTGGCTCGTGGTAAAACAAAAATATTTACCTAAAATTAGTTGTGTGTAAAAACTTTATAAAATAACGTGCTTATGTTACTGAAACATTTTAAATTTCAGGATCAGTTAAGTGAATTGTTAATAGCACTGGAAGAAAAGTCAATGAAGACTGAAGAGTTTGTGAGTGATATTGAATCACGATTTAACTCTGTTGAGGTAAGTCCAGTGTTTTATCATACTAGTTTTCTTTCCCTCTGTAATATTACTTCTAAGATACGCTTGCCTTGTTTTGTCACATCATCACTTCCACTAAACTGGGCTGTTTCTTCAGTCCTCAAACTGGCTTCTCCCACTGGAAGGTGTTAACTTTAGGGGAAGAAAAAGATTGCTGGTTTTGCACATAGTTGCAAAATGGAATATGTGACTGTCAAGCACTGGAGCAAAAAGTTTCCTTAATTTTGTTTATGCTTATAAAATCTCACACTGTTTAAGTCTTTATTTAGAAACCTGTGTGAAGTGTATGTATGAGTTGCCCAATGTCTTAAGTTCTTAGTGTCCCAGTTCTTAAGCCTTGAGAATTGAATTGATTTCAGTTGAGAGTATGGATTTTTAGCTATTTTGTTGTCAGAATTCCTATCTCAATGTTTAAATATAGAAATTTATTTTTAATTACTAACAGTAGAAAAAAGATCTATCATTGTTTTTAATGTATTTCCCTAGCATTATTTTTTCCAGATGAGCTTGCTTACAGAAATAAAGTTGTCTTATTGTCAGGATGCCAGAAGGATGGTTCATGTATGAGTAATTGATAATCTCTGTCTATTCATTAAATGTTGTAATGTGGTTATACAGATCAACTTACATCTGTTCTTATTTTTAAGGAAAACTGTAAGAAAAATGCAGAGCTATTGGAAAAGCAGAATGAAGAGATGCTTAAGAAAGTGGTAGCACAATATGACGAGAAATCAGAGAACTTCGAGGAAGTGAAGAAGATTAAAATGGAGTACCTGTATGAGCAAATGGTTAACTTTCAGCAAACTGTTGATTCATCAAAAGAAACTTTGGAGGCAACAATAAAAGAAATGGAAGAACTTGATGGATTTGTTTTCCTAAATGTAAGTAAAAGTGACTTTCATGCTGTAGCTTTTATGATGCTAGTTAGGAAAGCTCTCAAAACAAGTTCTTTACCTTCTTTTTTTAAGATAGCTAAATCCTGCAAGCTCAGCTGTTTCACTCTGAAACTGCTAGATCATTTCCCTTTGTCCTGTGAATGCTCAGAGAGAATTGCAATGATGATGCATAGGATGACATATGCCTTATACCATTAAAATGGTTCTATTTTGTTTTGTGAAGAGAAGGCTAAGAGCCAGTTTGATTATTTATTTAGAATTATCCACTGAGGAGTAAGAAATATTAGAATAAAAGTTACCTTACTCTATGAAAAATAAAGATGAAACAAGAAAATTCTCCAAACCAGAAGCCAACTAGTTGCTGAGTTGTTGGGTTTTTTGTGTTGTTTGTAGGTTTTTTTTTAATGAGCAGACACAGAGTGGTTATGCACTCAAATTACCGAGGCTGTGATAAATGGTTGTCTTTGCCTCATCCATCCCAACTAC